GAGAGAGATGGGAGGGGAGGGCCCAGGGGTGGGAGAGGAGGGGCGAGAGGGACGGGGCAGGGACGAGGGGCAGGGCCGAGGAAGACGGGAGAGGAGGGGCTGGAGGGCGTGGCCGACGGAGATTGAGGGGGCGCTGGGGGGTCGCGGAGGGACGCGGGGGCCCCGCCGAGGGGGCGCGGGCACCTTAGAAAGCTCGTCTATGAGGTTCTGCTGCTCCACAATTTGAAGTTTCAAGAAGTCAACTTCTCTCTCGTCTTGACTTTGATCCAGGTCGTTTAAGGAGCTGGGTCTCCTGATGATCCCGGCCCTTTGTCTCTGCAAAGCCAACCAGACCCGGTCACAGGGGTGGGGTGAGGGGTCGTCGGGCGGCGGGGAGCGCGGGTCCTCCCTGCCAGCGGGCCCGCGCCGCGCAGCGCCGTCTCCCCGTCTGCTCGGGCCCTGGGGGCGCGCGCGGGGCGAGTCTGCACCCCCAGACCAGGCGGCGTGAGCGGCCCGCCACCGCACACCCCGCCGCCTTCCGAGCTGAGCGTGGGAAGGAGGCATTTCTGCAGCGGGGTGCGGGGAGGGAGGAACACCCCGCCCTCCTCCCCCACTAGCCCCCTCACAACCCTCCCCTTCCCCCCGCCACGTCGTGCCGAATGACCCTGGCTAAACTAAGAAGGGACACAGGAGACTGCGCGGTGCTGGTCTGCTGGCTCCTTCCCCTCCACGCAGGTGTTCTGGGGCTCTTCCTACCTGGGCCTGAGATTTTCAGAGTCAGCAGATGCGGGGTGGAGCTCCTTGTGTTCGACCGGGCAGCAGGCCTGGGGCTGACCTGCCCAGTGACCTCCCCGCCCGCTTCTGCCCAGGCAGGTGCCCATGACCTCTTCCCTCCAGTGCTCAGACCCTCACCTGCCGCCTCCTCTCCCAGCCAGCGCCCAGGTGTTTCCAGTCCCCCCAGTGTATGTGAGACGGGGCGGGGGTGGGGGGGGAATCAAATGATCAAGACTTTCACGTGAGAAGTTCAGGGGGCTGTTGCTCACTGCTGGTGGGGGTGAGCAATCCTCCTGGCCCCATGGACCAGGCAGGGCCCCTTACCATTTCTATGTTCTCCTGCGTGACAAATTTTAACTTGTTTTCCATCCGACGTAAAGTATGGGACAGATCTTCATTTTTCCGAGTGAGGCGTTTGTTTTTATCCAGCAATGGCTTGTACTGACTCTCAGCTTCCCTTAAGCGCTTTAACTGAAAGACAAAATTAATCACACAACATGATTTTAAGTGTAACGTGGAGCCAACAATCCCTGTACAGATTTGGCAAACCAGCCAGAACACGCTCTGGCTCCAGCAAAGGGAGGTGGTCTGGGGCCAAGGCCCTATTTTGCCAATAAGAGCTGCAGTAGACTCGCCTGGCCCATGACCCTTCAGGGCCCTTGGAGAAGCTCTCACTCAGACACAGGTCACCTGGAAATTCCAGTGCCTGTGAGGAGTGATCGTGATGGCTTCACTGAGGCGGGAGGGCTTCACTCTTCCCAGACAACACGCAGGACGGAGGGTACTTTTGCTCAATAATATGGAGCAGGGATCAACCAACCAGTGCCCGAGGCCCACATCCATCCCCCCCACCAGGTTTTGTTCATAAAGCTTTATTGAAACAGCTGAGAGGCCTGTATGCAAACCCTGCCCTTGGCACCATCATTCCTCCTTTCCACAAGGAATTTTGGAGGTGGGCACCTTCTGCACCCTGCCCCAGCAGCCATAGACCCATAGGATCCAGATCTGCGTGCCCCTGCCCCGCTGCCCCTCACCAGCTCATTCCTTTCTTCCGACAGCAAGGCATTTCGGTCCTCCAGCTTCCGAATGATCGCACTCAGCTCTGCAATTTTAAGTTGGAAGCGCCGAGCATCCTTTTCATCCAACTGCTGTTCCTAAAACAAAAATCAACTGCAAATAACTGTTCGTAGACACAGGCATAAAAACCTCTGCAAATCCTAGCGCACCATGGAAAACAAAGCAGTTCTGCGTCATGATCGCCCGTGATTGCACATGGCAGGTGGGTGGGTGCAGACCCTCCCAGGGACAGGTGACCGATGGCTGACCACCATGGGCACCGCAAACCGCAGAGTGGGGACAGAACGAAGGAGCAGAAATGTCCAGGATGTGCAGAGGTGGAAGGCCAGGGCGGCTGCTGGCTGCAGATTTCGGGAGGGGTCTGCCCTGCGAAGGAGGTGGGGTCGCGGTTTCCCTAGTATGATCATGTGAGCACAGGAAAAGATGTTCAACTTAAGACTTTCAAAAGATGGTTTCCCAAGAAGTGTGCTCCCTCACATTGAGATTCTATAAGGTCACTTTTGAAACCTCTGGAACCTCATTCAAAAATCAGTGGAAACATTTTGATCCAGTTTCAGAATCTCTCTGGAGTTAACACAATCCATCGAGTGCCAGAGCAAGATTTAATCCAGTTAAGCCATTTATAATAAGATTATAAAAAATTATTTTCTATTCTTGAAATGTCGCTGTCCTCGGGCTGGCTCAGCTCAAACATTTTGTCCTCAAAGCAAACAAATGTATGTCCAGGAAGGACACAGGAATGGTTCCTCATTCAGCAGGTGCAGGAGAGGCTAGGGAGCAGGCCCCACAGGACCTGCACTGAGGGTCCATGGAATTTAGACTCCCCCCACCCCGGATTACCCAGAACCACTCCAGAGGGCTCTGAATGAGGAGCAGCAATGAGGAATGAATGATGTCACAGCCCTGCAGCTGCTGGCTGTCCCCACACTGTCACGGCAGCCTGAAGGGGAGCAGAAGGGTGGCACGGTCACACAAAAAGCAGGTGGGGGTGACCGGTGGGGGTGCGGGCGATGGAGAGCCAGGAGCCCGTGCACATGGAGATGGAAGCAGTTCAGCCTCATCCCGGTCGCCCAGGATGGGAACCAGGACCAGCAAGCAAGGACCCTTAGCCACCTGGGGGCCTGGCAGCTGCAGGTAGGCTCTAGCCGGAAGCCTTGGGGGGCCATGGGGGGGGGTGATCAAGTGAAGGCCAGTGCTGTGCCATGCTAGCCAGAAAGGAAGGAGACAGAAGTCTGCTTGTCCTCCGGCCAAGGCGGAGAAGCCGAAGGGTCCGGGGTCCGGCTGGTGGGCTGCAGACACGGTCAGCGTCCCCGGGGCAGGAGGTTCTGGTTCTGGACTCTGCACCTAGGCTCTCAACTCCCTGGGGAGCTGCCTGAGCAGGGCCACAGAGCCGCGTGCAGCGCTGTTTGTGACTGGGTCACCGGGCAAAGCGTGGGGAGGTGCTTACAGGGCTTCCCGAGTGGTCTGAGGCGTCTCCTGCACCGCCTGCATAAGGAAGTTCCCGTCTGGGGCTGCCCAGGTGCCGATCAGCCTCTTTGACCTGGGACAGCTGCTCATCTAGAGCCTCTTTTTGGAGCTGCAGTCTCTGAGCATGCCCGGCTTGAACCCCTAACTCTCTCTCCAGCACGAAGACTGCTCTGTCTTTAAATTTTATCTCCTCCATCTACAAGGAGAACAGAACACAATCACACAGGCAGGCAGAGTACAGATCTGCAGTTACCATAGAAACAGGGGGAGGAACCCTTGGAACCAGCATAGGGAGGGTCCCCGTGGCAGCGGCCCTGCCAGTGCGTCCCCGGGCTCAGAGACCGGATGCAAAGCGGGTCGCCCTGGACCAAGAGCCCCACTGCTCAGGCCGCAGTATGATCCCCCCCCGGACCCCCCGAACCAGGCTGACCTCTGCTCTGCTGGTTCAGTTCAAGCTGGTGCAACTGAGACTCCTTCCTGGACTCTGTGCATCCCTCCCCGCGTCCCTGTGCACCTGGCAGGACCACCCTCTTTAGTGCTGGACTGCAGGGGCTCCTGGGGGCGGCCACTGGGGGCTGGCATTGGCTGGCGGGTCCACAGAGCCCATCTCTAGCTCCTGCCTTCTGCTGTGTGTTGGGCAGGGCAGGGGATTCCCCGAGTTCCTTGAACCCCATCCATAGGAGAGTGTGAGGAGCAAGGTCCGTCCTCCAGCAGGGGGCTATGGGTATGAGAGGCAGAAGCTTCTTGGTGCCTCTTTCCTCTCCTCTCTGAGGGGCACCCAGCCCAGAAAGAGCCGGAGCCACCGTTCTTATCCTTCTGCACCCTGCCTCTCCTTGCGCCGAGGTGTGGACAGACAGCAGACAGCCGACTGTTTGCCGGCAAAGCTGCATTTTTAGTTAATCTTGCTTTGAGCTAAGACTTGGAGGAGGGGTTCTCCGGACAAGTCAACTCCAGACTAGAGGGCAGGAGCATCCGGCCCACCCAGGCCTCTGCATGCCCCCAGGCTAGTGGCTGTGAGGGGTCCACGGCTCTCCCCACTCTCCCTAAAGTGCTCGGCCTCCTGACAGCTGTAAGACGGCCCTCTGCACGCGGCTGCCACTTGCCTCCGAGCCCCTCCTCCAGGCTGCAGAAGGGTGGGCCGCTCCCAGTGGGGAGGCAAACACACCCCCTCCACCCATTCTTCAGATGGATGGACTCGGGGGCTGCAAGGGGTCATTACAAACGGTGCTTGATTTATAAGATGACTCCGTTTAAAACGTATTTTCAAACAACGGAACAGGATGGGATACTTGATGCTTCCCTTGCTGTTTAAGGCTAAATAATCTAATAAATCAGCCATCTGCTGAAGTCAGCTTGGAAACAAAGAGATGAGATGTCTCATTAGCCCAGATCACAGAATTCACAGGCAACGATGAACTGAACAGAAGAAAAGAAATCCTTAACTGCTAAATTCCCATTTACTGGAGCACACAGAAACACACTGAATTAGTGAAAGCAAAGGGGCCAGTAAAATATAATTGTATTGCTATGTTCTGGGGTCTAAGGACACTCACACTCAGACACTTTAAAAACATCACTCTTCTTTCATCAGGAAACCAGAAAATAAGATCCCACTGAAATGAGCTCTTTAAGCAGATGGTTTGGACCAAAAAGCAGACCTCCCTGAGACGTCACCCGTCCATGTCATGTGCTGCAGCCAAGTGGGGTGACCGGCTCACAAAGGAAATTCAAGGAAAGGTGCTTTCATGCAGGGGCAGGATTTGATTTTGTCAAGGTGGAAAGTCACTTTAAGATCAGCGACAGTGAAATAAGTCAAGCAGAGAAAGTCAATTATCATATGGTTTCACTTATTTGTGGAACATAAGGAATAACATGGAGGACATTAGGAGAAGGAAGGGAAAAATGAAGGGGGGGAATCGGAGGGAGAGATGAACCATGAGAGACTATGGACTCTGAGAAACAAACAGGGTTTTAGAGGGGAGGGG